CTCCTCATCTTTGAGAGATTGTCATATATATGTTGATGACATACACTTTCGACGCGAACTTGTATGTTTCGTTTCAAAATAAATATTTTGAAATAGTTGAAATCTTTTGTTCGTATCATCATCCTCGTCCGCGTAAATTAAGAAATGACACACATGCATGCATGATTCAACACATCAACACATAGAAAAAAAAAACCGCGATGGTCCAACCTTACTTTTCAGCCCGGTTGTCTAAATATAAGGAAACACCATTCGTAACCTAAAATCAACACAATACGATCAAGTTAAGAATCGTCGTTCGAGAACTTGCCTCGATGATAAGGACATTCATTCTCTACTTTAGGATTAGGAATCCATCTATTGTGGAGAATTCTTCTCGAGACCCTCAAAGTTCCAATTTACATTTTTTTTTTTTTTTGACAAAGCCAATTTACATTGACTAGATAGGAAAGTTACGTTACTATCCCATTATCCATTACATTATTAAGGATCGAGACACCATGTGTCCTAATTATACGACTGACCAACCGGCGGCCGCCGGAGGTAAAGGTGAAAGACCTCTTTTCAGGAAGATATTTTCTTTCCTCCCGAAAACAAATATCTCAGGCACGATATTTATTTCTCCCGAAAACAAATATCTCTCTAATCCTTTTTTTGGGTGGAAAAGTGCAAGTAAGTAAATATCTCTCGAGACTTTTAAGATTGCACGATATGTAAATCGATATGCATGATTGAATCGAATCATGGTTTATGATAAATTATTGATAACTACTTGTCCTGTCAATGACAAAAAAAGTTTTGATTAACAACTAGCTAGTAGGCTAATTGGGTTAAGCTAAAACCAGGTGCCATGGCAAACAGAAAGCTTTTGACGAATGCAGCTGGGAAATTAATGGGAGCTAATTATTGGTGTCAATGTATCTGCACGTGTCGATGAATCAACTCAAATTATTGGAATGGTTGGTGATGTGGTAATAGAGTTGGTTTGGTAAAAAGGTCGTTTGTTCGAAAATTTTACGAATTACGTACAATAGTAAATTGATTTGTGAGAGTGACATAAGATTCATAATGATCATCATTCTCCAATCAACTCGAGTTATTTCAACCGAACGGTTATGAGATTCATAATTAACCTTCTCCCAACGGCTCGACTTATTAGAACTAAATGATTTGTTTGTTAACCATTTAGTCTGCCTAATGGCAAACCAGCTCTGATACCAAGTCATAAATTAAATGAACTAGTCTTAATAACTCAGTTGCTGGGGGAGACCCATGTTAACCACTTCCTTACACGTAGGAGTATAGCAAGGTAACTAGAAAGCTCGCGACGTTTGGTCTTTCACTTGCCATTGATGTTGCTACAGCGTGACAAGATTTTCATAGGCTGAGATCTTTTTAGGTTGTCCATACCGTTAGTAGATAGTATAAGATCAATAATTGAATCTAATGGACGCATGGTTATTATGGAATAATCATATATAATAGTTAAACATATCTCTATCAATCCCCTATCTCGACCATTATTTTCTTCTTCTCGTTCTAAATCCCATCTCAACTCTCGATGTCTTCTATCCCTTCTCTAAATTACCATCACAATCATATCGACCTCGAGTGCCAAGATCTGTGCATCCATCAAGATCTCTCCCAATAATTCGAGCTATCAGGAGTATACAGTTCACGACGTGGTATCAAGGCCTTTGATGCTCCCTCTCCCAAATGTTAACCACATAATATTCAAATATATTCAAATTTAACGCTCATATAAATTGACTTTAATTTGAGAAAACACAATATAAAATTCATAATTAAATTTTTGTATAACAGCTCGACTTATCGAAATTAAACGACTTATTTGGCCTGCCTCTCAGTTCCTCCATCTCTAATGCTCTCTCGAAATACGAATACCACATTTGTGTGTTTTAAACATGAATCAACCATCTCCCCTTTCACAAAATTATTTAAAAACACACTAAAAATGGTTGAATCTCGATCACAAATTGATGCAAACGACGTGGCACCAATTTTGGACACTGAATATCACTGGCCACTGCCAGCGTGGATATATTAAACTAAAAAACCTCGTCCTCAATTTGTGACATTGTACGGTGGCTTTCCCCATTTCCACCCTTTTAAGATATTGGTACGGTGGATTTCATTAGCCATTCAAACACGCCTTAGTGGGATTCAGTCTCAGCTTCCAGTAACCTTTGGCCTCAGCAATTTCATTGGCTGGAATCTATACGTACAGTAGCATACAATAATATGTGTAATGTGTTAAGACTCTGTGTGTTACATATAATGCTGATCATCATAAGTCAATGGCATGAATCAAAGAGGGGGGGTTTGGTTCCCCATTTTGCACATTGACTTTCCTGATGTGATGAGATCTCATTGAGGAGTTTCATGTGTGGTTAGGAGGAGATGCTAGCCATTCATTCCACACAACAATTCCCCTCCCATTTTGACTTCAATGGGACAGGTGTCGTATCGGAATCCACGAGGGGGAAAAGACTAGGAGATTTTCAGGTGTTATGGTTGTTGTGGTTCGAGTTTGGAGATGGGTGGAAGCTTCGTTTTGAGTGGATTTGACAGCGCGGTGACAGTCCGTGTTAAAGACGGTTTAGTAGACGGGGTCGAGATGTTGCTTCCGAGGCAACGTGCGATCATCTCAAATCTACGATCTACGAGCTGCCAACTTGGCAAAAATGTGTAGTGAGAGGTCGCGTGGCTGTCTACCTAGTAATGCAGACAATAACATAAAGAAAAGAGGTGTTCAGAGTCATCGTCCTTTGGGAGGAAGAAATCCATGGAAAACTAGGAGAATTCAGGTGTTATGGTCGTTATGGTTCAAGTATGGACCGAGTGGAAGCTTTGTTTCAAGTGGAGTCGACAATGAAGACACTCAAATTAAGGAAAGTTTAGTGGACGAGGTTGAGATGTTGCTTCCGAGGCAACATGCAGTCATCTCAAATATTCGAGAGCTACATGTTGCCAACTTTGGCAAAAACGCATTGTGTGAGAGGCCACTTGACCGTCTTCCTAGCAATACCAAGAATATATAATTAACACACAGGAAAGAAGAATTCAGAGTTACCGCCCTTCAGAATGAAGGAAACTTAATCCTTTTCGACCCAAAAAGCCACGAAGAGGGTTATTCCATACACTACAAAAGGGTGCAGAGAGCCAGAGACAGAGATTGTAAAATCGAAAGATGTTAACCTAGAATTATCCTAATATTTTTGTTCAGTCGACCTCCTCTAATTAACACCTTTCCTTTTCCCTAATCAAAACATGTCCACATTCATTCAGATAGTATCTCCAAAATACCAACAAAATGCTCTAAGATCAATCAATGTCACATTTTAGCTGAAAATTGACACAAGTGCTTGCCGCTGAAGAAATTGACATTTGAAAGGCTATCTCTTTGCTTTGCTTCCTTTAGAGTGTGGATAATAGTGATTAAGATTCTTCAACAGTGAACTAAAGAGACAAAAAGATTGCCTGATCTCTAGTCTCTATCCCTTTTCTGATAATTGCCCTTTGGTGTCACGATTAAGTCAAGTGTGTACACCATTTTGCTTTGCTCTCAAGACACAACTTTAATTTCTAACAACAAAACACTCTACGGTAAAACTTGAAATGAAGGAATGGTATTGTTTGGATAGGTAACTCTCGAGAAAAAAAATCGTGTAAGTGTTGTCCTTTCAACGATGAAATTGACAAGTTTCACTTTCTTGAACGAAAATTACCCTTGAAATTGAGGAATAGGGTGTTGGAAGAATTCCACCACTTTAAATTTTAATTTTTCTCCAGCGAAAAAAAAAAACGAATCTACTAAATTCCTTCAGTTGGTTTAGTTTAAAAACCATCATGCCGCTCAACTTCCTCATTCAAATGACACCAAAGAGAAACAACGACGAAAATACTCAATCTAGAACTTGCTTATACAGTCTATTTAAACAAAAGGTAATTTTTCGAGAGTTAATTACCAACTTGGTCATCAAAATTCAATACACATCCGTACAATGGGTGGAATGAAAATGCCAGCTAATAACATTAAACTGAACAGTTTCTCATGCTATGTTGCTTACGTGACAATAATTTTTTAGTTGTCACGTTAGAAACACATATGTGACAATGATATCTGACAAAGTCGAGAGACTTAATAATTAACATCTACCGGCGGGTAAATCGTGTATTTTTAGTTGTCTTAATGCTCAATTCACTGCGCATCGGTAGCAACCTCATCATATATATACACATTAGTTTCAATACGTTTTTAATCAACTCGAGATTTCGATTAAGATTAACCGTAACAATGTACAATTTCGACATGTTTTTACTACGAAGTAAAAAAAAAAAGAACTAAAACCTATCCGGAGTAACAAATTTGGCCTTTTAGCAGGCTTTAGCTATCTCCTCTGTATCCTCGTACCAAACCCTCTGCCTCCATCGGCGGCATGCTGATAACGACTTCCCCCGCCGGCGCCACGGTTGCCGCCTCCGCCGCTTCTGGAATCGATACTGATGGCTGCGGAAGAGGAGTGGGAGTAGAAGTGGAAGTAGTAGGAGGAGGAGGAGTAGAAGAGGAACCCGCGGTATCGACCTCTGCCACCACCACAGTCACCGGAGCTGCCACGGCCGCCGGTGCCGGCGCCGAGCAGCCGACGATTTTCTGGCAGGTCTCGATGAGGCAGTGTCGGCAAGTCGGGCAGGAAGAGTGGGATCCCAGCCACTTGTCGATGCACTTGACGTGGAAGCCGTGGTTGCACTTGGGCAAGATCTTGACCCGCTCGCCGGCGGCGAACTCCGACAGGCAGATGACGCACTCGGCGTCCAGCCCGGGGAGGTTCAGATGGTCGGAGAAGCTCACAGTGGGGAAGGTCTTGAGCGCCTTCTTTTTGATCCCGGTGTTGGCCAGCCTCGCCGCCGCGGCGGCGCCGGCGGCGCCGGGGGACTGGTCGGCGGCGACCAGGTTGGAGCACCGGAGCGCGCAGCGGATGATGGAGTTGAGGCCCAAGGAGCAGATCAGCGCGCAGAGGAGGACGGAGAGGACCATCACCACGTTGGCGTCGAACGTGCTGTCCGTCGGCGTGCTGTTGTACGGCTCCGCCGCGGCGGCGGCCGGCGGCGGGGAGGAGTGGAGGAGCCTTCTTGCGATGGTGAATTGGAGGGTGGAAGCCATGGTTGGTTGATTGATCTTTGGGGCTTAATTGAGGGTTTAAGGAGTAGAGTAGTGCTTGACTTTCTTTAAGTGAAGAATTGTGGGAGAGTGGTATTTATAGGGGAAATGAAAAGGGGAAGGGTGGGAAAGAGAGGAAAGGTTTGGTTTGAAACTTCTTATTGCCACTTGAGAGAGAGGATTTTGATTAGAACATTATAATTTAATTACAAAATGGGGCAATCATTTCCTTTTTGATTAATTTTGTAAGTGTTGTTTTATGGTGTATTGGTGTTGTTGGGAGGTGGAGAGTTCAAAAAGTTTTCTCTTAAGTGTTTGTCTAAGTCTGATATTGATGATGATAATGTATACAAATACGAGAAAAAGTGTTATGCTTGTCAATTCTTTTATGAAAGGTTTTATATTGTTGTTTTTACGCTTCAGGTGATTCACCGTGTTAGTTTTGATTTGTTATGTATTTTTGTGACTTTCATGATTATATGTAGGAGGTGTGCAACGATTTGGTGCACGTCGAATTAAATCGATATTTGGACTAATTCAAACAAGGTTATGTGATTTCTTTCTTAGTTTCATGAATTTCTAGAATATTAAAGAAAAATTTATGAACATATAGTTGGATCGGCCAAATCAGACTAATGCACTTACAATTCTTGTCCTGAACTTGTATTTAGTTTTGGTTTATAGTGATTTTCGTTAAATTCGTCCCGGTCTGGACCTAGCCATTGTGCATCCCTAATTATATGACTAGGATTTGTGATGGGATGTCACTATAATAAGTTTGAGTGGTCATTTTCTCCTTCAATTTTGTCTAATTTGTAGGATTTTTTTTCTCCTTGAGAGTGAAAAATGCTCAATTGACAAGTCATCTTCTTGAGGAAACATAAATGGATAAGAGAGACCAATCATCAATATTTTAGGGGGCTTTTAGGGTTTTGTACATAGCACACATTGGGGTAAGGAGGTAGCTGGCTAGCTAGCTAAGAGTGTTTTATTTTATCTTTCATTTGCTTTAGTGCAAGGATCAAACCATATAGATTCCCCACTTAAAGCTTTCCAATGTGTACGTGTATTTTAATAGCTAAATTACAAGAATACCATCCGATTCAGGGTTGTTAACAAATCGATCACTAATAAATTTGAGATTTTAATAGATTGTTGCCAAAGTTTGGAATATAGCAAACATAGTTAATCACTTCATCCATCCCTACTTCCCTAGGTCCTCCGTTCAACTGGTCAATTTTTATCACATATTCCAATTCGATGAAAAATAAGTACTCGTTCCAGTTTCATATTCCGACTATTCAAGATCATCCAAATCCCTCTTCTTACCTGTAGTTTATTAAAGGGGTCGTCTATGTTACTTTTTATCTTTCTATTTTAGGTAAGCTGACACATCAATAGAGACGAGAACTTGACTACGATAGACACAATCATTTTATCGTCCGTTAATGTGATATTTGATTACGAATTTGCCCAAAATTCATAGTTGGGTGACTGATTTGCTATAGAACCCATAATTTAGTAGTGATTGTTTATGCATAATTGGTTGTTTCCCCCTCACTAATGGGGTGTTCTATCTCTTATCAATGGAGAGTTGTGGGGTCTTCTCCCACTTTCAACGAGCAAGGGAATTCCCCATTCTCAATCAAATCTCTCACAAAACTGAAAACCCTAATTTTGTATGTAATGCTTCAAGGGTCCCATGTATGCCCCATAGGAATAGGAGGGCTCATGAAGCTTCCCATGTGCAAAACCATTGGCTTCATTATCTTTATATTAATTTTACTTTGTTTTTGGCTTTAGGAAAGTATTGGTTTACACTAAGTGGGAGGAGGTTTTGATACATGTGTAGTACTAGGATAGGAGTTTGGGAAGGAGGGTTTATTTTAAATGTGACAATTATGGGTAGTTGTTTATTGGTTTGTTAATGACCTTTCACTGTAAATTAAAGGGATGTGCATTCCCATTTGAGTCATACTCAACCGATGATGGTCAGTTGGGATGAGTGTAGTTGAGCTATTGTAATCCTCAAATGTGTGGAGTGAGTCACTAGTTTTGTAACTTCTTAATTAATTACCTTCTAACTTATCACCAAAACTAAATTAGTGAACTTTTTGACTAATCCATCAATTTAGAGACCTAGCAAGTGTATCGGCTCGAGCACTCATTTCAGATTGTGCATTGGTTTGCTTCTAGTTGTGAATCGTTAGTGGACGGTGTCACTCTGAGTCCAGATAATAATCAGAGTTTAATTCTAATAACATCGAATCAAATCAGACAATGAAGTGATTCAGATTGTTCTGAGTTGAGGTCCGGCCAGAGGGAGATAACTTTTCACTATGAAGTGAATATGAGTTAGGTAAGAGATATAAGATCATTTTCGAATCGCGGGTATTAATCTAAATATGGACCGAGATAGAAATTTCCAACCTTCTCAAATTCAATTTCATTATCGTATACGTGAGGTTTTATGTTAAACTTAATGCTGATAAGTTACCTAATCTTTTGTGTTGATAGACATTCTTGGTTCATCCTTTATTCTACAAAAAGAACACAATATTTGATCACGAGGTACGACGTGGTTGTTGAAAATTTCTTTTCTTAAACCAACCGAAGCGCACTTTATAATCAGATGTTTATCGCCCTTTTTGCGACGATCCATATGAAGGCTAGAGTACAAGGAAACTAGATTCTGAATTCTCATTATATAGGGAATTGAAAAGTACTTTTCTCAAATTCTCATTCAATCCGAAGAAACCACTTTGAGAAAAACATATATATCTACTCGATCATGTGCAAGGCAAACCCTTTTTCATGGGGGGCATATTGGTGGTATGTTCACTAGTGGGTGTCCAAAGTCTCAACAAAAGTAGTTGTGCGTGCCCTCATGATGATCCAAACGACCCTTGGTCTCTCCCACAATGATCATGTGCGCTTCCCTTTACCTTCTAATTGTATATGAATTCATTTGTACTAAAAACTCGACGGAGTCGAGATCATATATCATTTCATATCATCATATAAATCTTTTTAATTCAAAGTTTCTTTGTTGAATCGAAATTCATTTAAAGCTTTTATGCCTTTTCCTTGTGCTTAATCAAATGTTAATACGAATTGAAGAGACAGAAACAAATTCCATCGGGAAAGAATCGAAATGAATAATGGAGATGAACTTCTCTAACTCTTATGTGATTTGTGGTCGTGACTTTGAGAAGCCTTATCAACACACACTTGTAGGCCATACGTGAAGGGAACATCCATGTGAATCTTAGCTTTTGTGGCATATAACAGAAGAATGCTCTGTAGGCCACTTCAAACTTTTTTTTTTTTTTTTGCAGACTAGGGCATTCATTATACAGGGAATCTTGGATCTCCCATATCCCAAATGTCCCCACATGCTATAGGCTAGAAAACTATATATGAACAACTACAATTACATAAAATTACTTCGAAGCGGTGGTTCGTCAGATTGCTCGTTAGTTGGAGTGAAACATGGTTGCTAGTTTCTGCTCTTCGAGAATGTCTTCGATAACTCCATTTAAAGATGCAAGTTTAAAGTTTTAGGGTTGATGTCTACCCAGGTTAGCCAACTAGACTACATCTAGAGTGACATGCAAAGTCCTTTCTCTATTTTGTCTGGAGTTCAGTTTATACAGCTACTTGGTGTGATTACGTATCTATGTATGGAACAAGTTGTTCCACTGCACTTTACTCGTAACTTACGTGTAAAGGATATTGCAGAAAGCTGGACGACATTCGAAAGTACGACAAGATGTACCAACAATCCTACATAAAATAAAGTCCCTCATGGACTTTAGTATTGGTAAAATATAGGCATGCGCATATAACTAGCAAGTGACAGATTTCAGCAATCTTTAAGGTTTCTACATGTTGGGGCATATAAGCTAAAACCAGCAGGCAATCCTTGAGAAGATCTTGGAGTTTGAGTGCTTTTTCACTCCTACCCTTATCCTCATGTTTGTAATAATATTTGTTTAAAACCCAAAGCAAAGAGCTTTTGAGCATTAACGTACAACTTGGTGGATTAATCAATAATAGTGAGTAATTAACTAATGTAATTAAGAACAGGGGGGGAGAAAGGGTATTAATGGTCCCCCTAGATGAAAACCCTAATATTCTAATTGAACTTTTTGCCACCTCCTCCTCACTATTCACTAATGCACTTTTCTAGAACAAAATTTCTCATTGCAAGTAGATAAACAAGCAAAGATTGCCATCAACCGATCCAACAAAGCCATAAATATGGTGATTACTATTATAAATGGGAAGGGAATTGATTAGCAATACACCACATAATGTATTGGTGCCGTACGGCTCAAGATTAAAACAATATTCTTTAGATCTTTGGGAGATAAGAGAATCTGTATATGGCAATACGCAATATAATAAAAACTTGGGCACTTAATGGGATCAAAGTTTGAATAAGGATTCAGCTCTTACAGAAAGGTTTACTGGTAACGTGAACCCTATTTGTTTTTTCAATGAGATTCGATAGAGTTCGGTAGGTGAAAAATAGATGCATAAAGAGGTGTGTTGGTAACTAAAGGAAAAAAAGACTAAAACAAAATCAAATAGTCGATTGTTCGGGATCAAATGGCTTTAATGGAGCTAGTTTGGTAGACCTAAAAAGAGTAATAGATTGGTTTATCAGCTTGTCTCCATCAGGAGCACCCGGTAAAATTAGAACGATACGGAGAAGATTTGGTTTACCAGCTTTCATCTTTTGACATCTATGGGTTGGGTAATGGCTGAAATCGGTACTCAACTCAGATTATAATACTGTTGCTAAAGACCATTTCACGAGGGATGCCGTTCAGCTGAAACAGTTGAGGACGATTGGTGCTTGGAGTTAGGGCTGGAAGTTTGGTACCGGTATTTGGGATATACCGAATACCGTACCGAATTTGTCTATATTTGGTATTACCGAATACACGTATTATTTTGTGGGATTGGGATTGGGATTGAGTTTCAATTGTTATTCGGTATTAGGGA